TTTTTTTTTTGTACTTTCAACTGAATGTCAGTTCTAAATGTTCTAAAAGCAGTTTCATCAAAACTATCTTTGTACAATGTAAATGTGCTCACAGAGGCCCTCAATATCACCTCTTGTCCTTAGAGGCCCTAAATATCACCTCCTGGCCCACACATCTCTGACCCTGTGCCACGTACAGAACTCTTTCCGAACACATGACCTGACAATATCAGACACGGGTAAGAAAACTCTTTATTCAGAACTTTTTCCCAATTTTTTAAACCGAGCCTATTGTATGCGAGTTTGTGTTTACATATCGAGTCCAAAGGTCTGAGAAAACGAAGATGGAATTCAACGTCTGGGATAAATTCAACATTTTCATTTATGGGAATAAACTAAAATTTTTTGATTTTTCAAAATGTGTTAACTCAAAAGCCACCGTATTTATATGCACATGATAGCATGTTTGTTTCTGATTCATTTCCACTTTGCTTTTATTTGGTCTCACCTGTATTGTAGAGGGCTCTTCGTTCTGGTTGCCGCTCTATGGTAACATGTGCTGTCACCTCGTGGCCCAACCTGTTTGTATGACTCAAGCTGTTATGTGTGGAAAACTCAGAATTCGGGTTTGTGAATATAATGTATTATTGTGATTAAAAATAAATAATCAATATTTCCCAAATACCTATTCCGTCACCTTCCACATATTTTTGTACCCAAGTCAGGGAGCAATCCTGAGGACTGGAGAGATGTCTACGGTGTTCTGAGTGGGTCAGATTTAAAATGTTACCAGCAGCAAGACGATAGAGATTCTTTAGAGACACCACTGTTCACTATTCCCATTAATAAGGTGAGGAGTATTGTCTTATCGAACAGTTGTAGTTGCATCTTGTAGTCAACAGAGGGCCAAGTTGTCTTTGATAATATTTGTGTTATGTGAGGTTTTCCAGTAAGAGGATATGCTTCATGTGGTTTAAAATCCAGTGTTACAGCATACATGCTTTTGGAAGTTGTTTATTACATATATCCCACGTACCACAAACTATGAATTGTTGTGCAGTTGTAATTGTTATTTACACTTATCTTAAAACCAATTGCATACTTGCTTTAGGAGACCCGTGTGCGTGCCACAGAGAGAGATCCGGCTCTACATACTCACAGTATCACCATAACAAACCAGAGTGGTGATGAGACCACATACACAATTGTCACGCACACATCTGAAGACACGCATAACTGGATGGAAGCTTTCTGGCAGCATTTCTATGACATGAGTGAGTACCAGAGTTCCAAGAATGCACAAGATCACTTCAAAAAATCACTTCAGCAGTATCGTAAATGGTTAAAAATCTAAATAGATCTATCTAGGTTTATTTGACAGCTCTAATACAGAATGGTTTGAACTACAATTTACCTAAAAACTTTAACACCATTTTTTACTGTCGTGCAACCACTGGTATGTCCATACGGAACAACAACAACAACAAAAATCATAGCAGTGTCTTTGCAGATTTCCTTATTGTAGGGACCGAAAAACAAAATTCCCTTTTTGACATGTGTGGTATGCAAATAACACTGTCTCTGAT